GCAATATTCTTCTGCAGACCCCACGGGTCTCTAGTAATATCCACGAGTTTCATTTGGGTGCTCAATGAAAGCTGCTTTTTTACAGCATGCAAATTAAAATGTTGAGAGTGTAACACTTTAAGAAAATATATTAATTTAAGAAAAATTAATAGAAACAATGCAACTATAAACTTCAGTGACCTTGGTTCATTCTACTCAGTAGTTTTCTCTTTGAGACACCATCATAGAAAATTCCTTTTAATTCTTAAAATCTTTCTGAAATTTTGAATTTTAAAGAAATACACTGGCATTCTGATAATGCTTACTTCCATTTCTTAACCATATTTTAACAAGAACTGAATTACACATATGTGACAATGTTAAACACTTGAGAACCAAATGGAATAAAGAGAAAGTCTTAATTGTGTCTTTCCCCAGAGTTGATACTCGTGGGAGAATATTCTGGTGGGAGACAATTATCGTCATTTGCTCCTAAACTGACTCTTGTACCCAGGAGATGAAACTGTCACACCAAGCCACCTCTGCATAAAACCAAATGGCCCTGGACAGCACTTTCGGTAGTTGTCGGGATTCGTGACTCAAAATATAGTTTTGCACTATCACTGCCTCACATTACCAAAATTATTTTTCCTTTCAGAGCGGTGAAGAAAAGTCTAAAATGCTGAGTTCTGGGAAGCAGAAGGAGTAAGTCTGGATGCCTTTCCTTGACTTTTAAAACTCTACATTCTTTTCTGGCATTTCTTTTACAGTGTTAGCAGAGTTGCAGATGGGACTGATCCGTCCCTCCTGGTCCTCATTCTGAAAGCCACACTTCTTGATGAGGACAGATTCCACTACCATTTTCTGTCATCCACAGCAAGGAATTATAGCAAACACTTCTTTTAGTTAACTTCACCCAAGGAGGTAAGAGCTTTACTCAGTCACTCTCAATTTGTATTAACTTATCTATAAGCTTCTTCCAACAATTTTATCAAATGCATTGTTGAGACTTGCACTGCGCAGAACCCTGTGCCAGCACTGCATTAAGTTTACAAATCAGAGTGGGAGAAAAGCCAGTAAGTGATGCGTAGCTCACCAAGCCTGGTGTGTGCCACATGTGATCATAAGGAATGTGCCTGCGTGCAGAGAGGAAATGGTCCTGAGAACCAGAATTTTAGTATCAGAGATTCCAATAAAAAGAACTCTGTGTGTTCATATACACTGCAATATATTATGTGTTTAGTTATTATTCAGTGTCCTGACACAGCCTGAAAGTTTGTCCTTAGTGAAAATATTTTCATTTATTATTGATAACTCATGTATCTCAAACATGACAATGTTTATTGAGATCCTGAGTCACCGTTAAACTCAATTGTTGATGCTTTTAAACTGTTTATGTGTAAGTACCTTTAAAATACATTGACAATACAGTCATATTATTGGATATTCTTTCTTTAGGTGTTGTTTTCATCTTGCTGGGTGGAGATTTTTTAACGCATAATTTTAAAAATTTTTGAAAATGCAGTTTACTCTTTCTTCTAATGCTAAGTTATGCTTTGAGGGTCCCAACAATGAAAGAATCATGAAATTCAAAGCTACAAATACTTAGTTTTACAGTTTTCTCCTCATGATTTTACAAGTGTTAGTTTTTAAAAATCTATATATATAACCCACATTTAGTGAATTAACGGGGACAATTTGATAAAGGTTTCTAAGTGAATTCTCATAACTGTACATACTGAGTTTTCCATTTCAGCACACATTGTTGAAAAAATTATCATTTTTCCACTGAATTATCATAAAATGCTTATAACAATTGAGTTCATCACGGCTGAGTTAATTTCCGGACTATCACCTCTGTTACATTGGTCTGTATGTTTATACTTGTAACAGTCTGAAGCTGCCTTGTTCACTGTAAAATTGTAAATTTATAAATAAGAAAATGTGACACATCAAAAGATACTTATCTTACAATTTGCTTTGTTTATTCTAGGATCTTTTTATTTTAACAGATTTTTTTTATGATCATTGTGTCATACTGGAGTGGATATTTTGATAGATGTTACACTAAATTTTTAGATCAGTTTGGAAAAGTATTTCCTTTTTCACAATGCTGATTTTTTGATTTGTGAAGATCTGTCTTTCCATGTTTGAAAGACTTTAGTACTATTCAAAAACGTTTTGTAATTTTATGTATGACTGTTCTCATTTTCTTTTAAAGTTTATTCCTATTTCATCCTTTCATGTTACTTATTTTATTATATATTGCAAAATGTAAAATACAATAACTTATATCTCCAATCTACACTTTCACATGATGTATAATTACAGTTCTACAATTTTGGTATCGATTCTCTTGGACTTTTTCCACCTAATATCCTCATTTAACGAGAGTGAAATGATAAGGAATCCTGGCTTTCCAATATGCCTTTCATTAAGTTTTTAGCCTGACTTTTCTAGGTAGATCTTTTGGTGCACTGTGAAATGAAAACAGGTAGTGGACAACTTGCATTATTCAGTATTTCAGGGGAAAATCTTCTGCCCTTCACCATTCTGGTTAACAATTAATGTGTGTTTTTCCCTATGTCTGTGTGTATGTGTATGTGCATGCTTTATGGATGCTGCTATTCTAAAAAAAATTGATTATTTTTCACCAGAATCATTCAGAAAATTATAATTAACCAGATACATAAAAATTAGTAGAAATTGTTTTTGTGAGTGTTCATGAGGTTGATATTAATAAGACTTCTACAGAATAAAACAAAAACACCAGAGTTTTGTGTGCTATATATTTACATGCCACTTAGAGATCTCAAGATTGTTGATATATTTATGTGAAAAGTTGGAAGACAACTGGGCATATCTGGATGAATAGAATAAAGTTCTACTTCACATATGATTGTTCAGACAATAAATACCTATTTGAAAACTTTTCTTCCCTTATTACATAGATTTGCATAAAGAAATGACAGAAGGAAACCATTCTTCTGTGACTGAGTTTATTCTTTCTGGGTTAACCGAGAAACCAGAGCTCCAGCTGCCCCTCTTCCTCCTGTTCCTGGGAATCTACATGTTCACAGTGGTAGGGAACCTGGGCATGATCATCCTGATTGGGCTCAGTTCTCACCTGCATACCCCCATGTACTATCTCCTCTGCAGTCTGTCATTCATTGACCTGTCCTACTCCACTGTTATTACCCCCAAAATGTTGACGAACTTCGTGACAGAGAAGAATGTCATCTCCTACGCTGAGTGCATGACTCAACTATATTTCTTCTCAGTTTTTGTTATCTCAGAGTGTCACATGTTGGCTGCAATGGCATATGACCGCTACGTTGCCATCTGTAACCCCTTGCTTTACAATGTCACCATGTCTCCTCAAGTCTGCTTCTGGATGATCTCTGGGGTATACAGCTTGGGCTTGGTTGGTGCCACAACTCATACCATTTGCCTGCTGAGGGTGTTTTTTTGCAAGGCAAACATCATAAATGATTTCTTCTGTGACCTTTCTCCACTTCTGAAGCTCTCCTATTCCAGCACTTTTATTAATGAGGTAGTGCTTCTGTGCTTCAGTGCATTTAATATTCTTCTTCCAACTCTCACTATTGTTCCTTCCTACATCTTCATCATAGCCAGCATCCTCCACATTCGCTCCACCTCAGGCAGGTCCAAAGCCTTCAGCACCTGCAGCTCCCACCTCTCAGCTGTTGCTGTGTTCTTTGGTTCTGGCACATTCATGTACCTGCAGCCCTCATCAAGCAGCTCCACGGACCAAGGGAAAGTGTCCTCTGTGTTTTACACCATTGTTGTCCCCATGCTGAATCCCCTGATCTACAGCCTGAGGAATAAGGATGTGAAAGTTGCCCTACTTAAGATCTTTCAAAAATATCAATGTTCTTTGAAATAGCATATTTTACTTTTATAATGAAGTATTTCTGTATTTATGAGAAGGAAGTAATCCAGAGACTCTAACATATAACCTCATTTCTATTGATTTCTACTAATGCTTAAATATTTGGACAAATTACCACACATAAGGCTAGGCTGATTGAATCAAAGCCTCATAGGATGGTGATTTTCTAGGGTGCCCCAGAATCCAACTATTCAGAGTAAGCTGTATCTCAATTTTATAAATTTCAAATCCCTCATAAAATTCATTCTGCTTTGTATGTATGCAGTATGGCTCTTCTATTTATAATACTTGTATTAGTTCAGAAAATAAATATATTTGCTTCACATTGTCTTGTTTCAATAGTTTATATACCCAGCCTTCCAAATCAAGTTATTAGCGGGAATTTTTGAAGATCTAAACTCTAAAATAAATAAATTTAACACTTGAATTATACAAAGTATAATCCCCAATAATACACCATTGTGTATAATTATGTTAGTGTAATACTATGGCATAAGATGGGAAATAAAACATCGCATACCCTCATGGAGATAGCAGCACATTGGAAGATACCGAGAGTAATAAACAGACGCATGAATGTTAGGAACTTTGTTTTACATGTATCTGTGTACCAGTCTGGATATAATGCTGCCCTCATTTCCTGACATTTTATATTCCTTTTCTCATGTTCCAAGGAGGTTTGACTATTTAAAAAATTTGCACCCAGAGAGAGAGTCTCTTACTTTGATGTGCTGTTCATTTACTATTCACTTCGTAAGGGTTCCTCATTTACATGTAAAACTTACCATTGACAAATTTTTTCATGACTATTGACAAATTCTTCTAGTACATGAAACTGAAATTCTACTTGAAAAACAAATGTTTTTTCATTGCCTGAGGTGCAGACTTTTGACAAGTAAATTTAATTTTTTTTCAGTTGAGATTCTATATGGCCTCTTGGAAACTAATCAGAAAGCTCCAGGCTACACTCCTGGAAGACAACTGTCCTCAAGAGCAAATCTCAGCAGTCTCACACCTTAGTTTTGCAAAGACTTTTCTTATGTCTCCTGAGCAATAAATAGCCTGTTGGCCATCAGATACATCCATTCAGTGTCAGGGCCTCTTTTAGATGACAGGTTGTGGCTGTATTCTTTCTGTGCCTCTGATTTTTGAGCCTTCACAAAGGTTTGCACGGAGACAGCGTAGACACCTGCAGGTAGCTTCTTCCTATTCCCTGACCCTGTCTGTCACGGTGATTCTGGGAGTGCAGCACAGAGGTGTTTATTCTTCTTTAACACAGTGTGAGCATTTGACCTGGTTCACATGTATTTATAAAATCTCTTGTCTCATCGAAAAGGTATATAATAAGATATAATGCACGCTTGGTTTGTCCTCAGCTTGCCTTCAAATACGTCACATGAACAGCTAAAAGTAAGGTTGCCTTTAACTTACCTTCTAAAATAAGAACTATTAGTGAGATATCAGATTCATTGCATCTTTGAAAACAAGCAGAAATCTTTGTTAGTTGTGTGGTAATTTGATTTCTTCACATTTCATTTTTTATCCTATAATAATTTCATTTTTGTATCTATCTCATTATTGACATATATTATGTGATACATAAATGGATGCATGCAAATTTGTAACACATAGGTATGAGTAGTGAAATTGTGTTGTTTGTCCAATTTTTCAAAGTGTGTCTGTATATATTCTTATGATTACTACTCTATATACTAAACAACATTTACAAAATTTGTTCATGTTACTGGGAATACAGGTTAATTATTATTTATGAAAATTTGTAATATTTCAATAAATTGGAGCATTAAAAATGTAAAATATAAATGTCTGAACTAACAGTAGTAATTTTCTGGACTTTGGAAGATAAACTTAGAATATATATGTATATGTTCTATTAATTTTATTATTTCATGGGAAAGAAGTAAAAATTCATAACAAAATAGTGAGAAAATAACAACAGTTAATACATTGCATGTAGTTATCTTTAAAATAGTTGCTCAGGGTAAGAGACATGGGCATAAAAATTTCCAGTTGATATTAGCACAAACCTTTTAAATGATCTAAGAGACATGAATAGTGTAATTTCTTTGCCCTTTTTCTTTTTTCTCTACTGTTTTTTGCCCTTTTACACATCCCAACCCCTTTTTCCTTTTGAACAATTGCTTCCCACTTCACAACTTCTATTGTACACTTTAGACCTTATTAACTGTTTTGATTTCTTATAAAAGGGATACACTATGATATCAAAACATGTGAATCTCAATCTTATTTCACTTATAAGTATGATCTCAAGGTGCATCCACTTACCTGTAAAAGTCTCAAGTTCACCCTTCTTTAAGGCTTAGTAATACTCTTTGTATAAAAAATCCCACATCTTTTTAATCCATTCTTCAGATAATGGGCATTTGAGTTGTTCCCAAGATTTAGCTATAAAAATTGTGTTGATATATGATGTTTCAGTTGTTCTGGGGAGATACAAAGAAGGGAAGTAGGTGGATTGAATAGGTTTTGCAATCTAGGTTTTTAGAGGCACTTCCATACCGATTTACACAGTGGATGTAACATGTTACATGCTCCTGGAGAAAATTTCTTTTTTCCCCCAAGTCCGTGGAGCACTTGTTATTTGGTTGACTTGTTTATGATAGTCATTCTTTCTTGGCTTGATGCAATTTCAGTGTTGTTTTAATTTGAATTTCTCAAATTGGCAGTGATGATGAACAGTTTTCAAATATTTATTTGTCATCTGTATTCCTTCATCTGAGAAGTTTGTTTATTGTCTCAAATGCTCATTTTTGGATTGGGTTTTTAAATTTGCTCTTGATAGAATTCTTTTTTCTGAGGGATGATTACTTAAAGTGATTTCCTATTCTATGTGTTTGCTTTTCTCTTTATTAGTGATTTCTGTTGATGTTCAAAAGATTTTTAATAACATGAAAATCTTGTTATTGATTCTTGAAGTATTTTCTGTGCATTCTGGGTTTTGTTCATGAATTTCTCCAAAATCTATCTTCAAGATAGATCTCCAAAAAATCTTCAAGATTTTTATCTAATTTCTTTTCTCATAGATTTAGGGTTTCTGTTTTAATATTTAGATCTTTGATCCATTTTGACTTTAGTTAGTGCATGTTGATAGAAATAAGTCTAGTTTTAGTTTTGGCATGTAGAAAATCAGTTTTCCCAGCACTGTTTATTAAATAGGCTATGCTTTTTCCAGTGGAGAAGTTTGGCCCCTTTGTCAAAGACAAGGTGGCTGAGTGTCTTTTCAGGTGTGTCTGCATCTTCTAATCTGCTCCACAGATCCTCAGGTCTGGTTTTCACCAGTACCATGCTGATTTTTATCACAGTAGTGTTTTAGTGTATTTTCAAGTCAGAAATCGCAATGCTTCCTGCCTTGCATTTCTTACCCAGGATTGCCTTTGCTATTCCAGGTCTCTTCTTGTTCCAGATGAATTTTAGGAATGTTTTCTTTAGTTCTGTGAAGTATGTTAATGGTACTTTAATTGGAATTGCATTAAATCTGTATAACAATTTTGGAACCATGGCTATTTTGCAGTGTTGGTTCTTCCTATCCAAGAGCAATGGATTTCTTTCCATTTTCTGATATCCAGCTCAATCTTATTTTTCAGAGATAATATATTGTAATTTTCAATGCATAAATCCTTTACATTCTTTGTTAGATTGATTGCTAAGTATTTCATTTCTTCAATGCTATTTGGAAGAGTGTGGTTTTTCTAACTCTTTGGTCAATGAGTATGTTGTTTCTATACAGGAATCCTATGGATGTTTTAATATAGACTTTGTATCCAGATATGCTACTGAAGTTGCTTATTATATCTTATATCAAGAAATCTTTGCATGCAGTTTTTGAGGTCGTCTCTGTAGGATATCAGGTCTTCTTGGTATAGTGATAATTTATCATTCCTTTTCTACTCCTATTCTTTTCATTTTAATTTCATCTCTAATAGCGCTGGCTAAAATTCCCAGAATTATATTAAGTGGGAGTGGTGATAGTGGACATCTTTGTCTTGCTCATAATTTTAGATTGAAAGCTTTCAGTTTTGTCCATTTAGTATGATGTTGGTTGGTGGCTTGTCATAGATGAGTTTTACCAGATTTAGATAAAGACCATGTATTCTTTTCTCATAAAGTTTTTTTTTTTATCATGAATGAGTATTTGACTTTATAAGGTTTTTCTGTATCCAATGAAATGATCATTTGATTTTTGTCTTTGGATATGTTTCAATGGCACATTGCATTTTTGATTTGCACATTGTGGACTATCACTATATTCCTAGGATGAATATCACCTGGTCATGATGTATAATCTTTTTGATGATTTACTAGTGTCTTATTAGAGATTTCTGCATCTATGTTCATTAGGGAGACTGACCTATAGCTCTCCTTTTTGATTGGATCTTTCTCTGGTTTTTGTGTAAGTAAAATACTTGCCTCCAGTAATGAGTTGAGTATAATTTCCCTTTCAGTTTCATTAAAGAGTTTAAGCAGTATCAAATCTTCTCCAAATTTGTTGTAGAATTTAGCAGTGACTCTATCAGGAGCTGGGCTTTTCTTTATTGGTTAGTTTTTAATTTCATTATCAATTTCATTGACTGACATTGAATACTCAGAATTTTTATAGCTCCTGATTCAGTTTCAGTACTTTGTACTTACCTAGGAATCTGTGCATTTGTTCTCCGTTTTCTGTCCTTGTAGAGCAAACATATTCAAAATAAGTATTGACATTCTGAATTTCCAAAGCATCCATAATGATTTCAACCATTTAATTCCTCATTCCATGAATTTGAGTCTCTTCTTTTCTAATATGGTCAGTAAGGGTTTATCATTTTTGTTTATTGTTTCCAATAGCCAACTCTTTGAATTACTAATTCTTTGTATTATGGTATTACTCTCAATAGCAGTAATTTATTCTGTGATCTGTATAATTTTCTCCTTATATGGGCTTCGGGCTTGATTTGCTCTGCTTTTCCTAGCAGCTTGCAGTGCAAGATTAGGTTATTTGTGCTTGTGCTATTTTCCTGATGTGAGAATTCATACACATATCCCCCTTAGGACTGCTTTCAATCTTTCCCACTGGTTCTGCCAAGTGGTATTTGCATTTGCATTTGATTTCAGATGTCCTTAAGTTATTCTTAAATTTCACCTGTGGCCCATGGGTTATTTAAGAGTGTGTTACATAATTTCCATATTTTATGGAGATGGTGTGGGATTTTTTTTGTCATTAATCTCCTATTTTATTACACAACGATAAGATAATATATATGGAATAATTTTAATTTCTTTGCATTTACTTAAACATGTTCTATGGGCTAGTATATGGTATGTTTTAGAGAACATTCCATGTGCACCTGAGAAGAATGTGTATTCTGATACTGTAGGTGGAACACATTGTAAATGCTTCCTAATTACATTTATTCACAGGTTTTGCTCAGTTCTGATATATATATATATATATATATATATATATATATATATATATATCCCAGATTGATGGATTCTGCAATAATACCTTTCAAAATTAACAGAAATAATTTATTCCATGACAAAGAGCAACAGAGGAAATACATATATATATGACTTTTTGTATGGTTGGATCTATCTCTTTTTGGTAATGAGGTACTAAGTTCTATATTACAATTATGTTCTTGCTTATTTGATTTTTCATGTCTATGATTATGTGCCTTATAAATTAGGGGTTTCCATATTTGTTGCATATATATTTATGATTGTTATCTCATCCTTTTCAATTTTTCCCCTAACAAGTATATAGTGACCATTTTAAAAATCTCTTTTGATCATTCTTTGTTTGAAATTCACATTGTCTACAAACAAAATAGCTGCCTCTCTTTTTTTTTTTTCTGGCTTCCTATTGTAAAGAGTACTGTTTTCCATTCTTTCACTATTAGTCTATGAATTTCGTTTTGAATTAAATGTTTTTTTTTTTTGTATGCAGGGTATCGTTGGATCCTGTTTCTTGATCCATTTTGTCAGTCCGTTTCCTTTGATTGGTGAATTGAGGACAGTTTCACTGATGCTTATAAGTGATATGTATTGACTTCTATTTCTCAGGTTATTTTCCTGTTTTTGGACCTGTAATTTTCTCCTCTCTTTGATTGCTTGTCCTGCCTGGTGGTATCTTTCTGTTGCTGCTCTTCAAATTGTGTTCATTTTTAATCTGTCTCTATGATATCGTTCAATACTTCTGTAGTGTTGTTTTGTTGGTCAAGAATTTTCTCTG